TATATGTGCATATAATTTTTTTCATTTGATAACGGTTTGTTATACTTTTAAGTATAATTTGATTCATAATTCTTATTTAGTTTTGCTTCATCATACTTGAATAGCTGTAAAATTATTGAGTCCGAGGGCATGTGTGTTTATGCGTTTCTAGTGTGTGTGTGTGTGTTTGGGTTTTATTGTTAGTACTTTTTTGGGTACAGAATGTTTAGATGTTTGATTTACAAGGTTAGCAAGCTGCTGACTGCCGTCTGAGAAAGCCATGTAGAATTCGGAATGTTGGATATGAAGTTTGTAATCCTAGGTTGGAGTTAGATAGGTTATGTGTAGTTTACGTATGTATGAATTCATGTAAAATTTTCATAAATTATTGGCAGTTTCTTTAGGTATTCAATGCATAGACTTCCTTTTTACTTCTTGTTTAAACTAAACTTTGATGGAATTTCAGACATTGGGTAGTTTCTATGGAGATAGATCTTCTATTTACACATTGACTAGATAGAACAGGTTGTTGAACTTGATTATTGGTTACATTTATCCCTTCTTGTTGGGACAAATACATGCATGGCAAGCAATGGGTAATTAGTTTTGTGGTTTGTGTAGATGTGAACTACATACCTAAGTTGTCCTTTTATTAATTCTGTTGGCGCTCATTTGTTGGTCAAATGTGGTTGGTTGAAGTAGAAGTTCATTAATTTATTGGTTAGAATAGCCTTAACTTGGAAACACAATGTGGGACGAACTTCAGTATTTGGTCTAGATCATTCCACACATGCATTGTCACTATGATTTATGGTGCATTTTGCCTTTGCTGCTGTGGATTATCATGGGACTAATTTAGTGTTTTTATTGATTTTGTGGAAAGGATCTCGATGTGGTGTCATGCTAGCCATGATTTTATCTTCTTCTTCCAAACCTGGAGAAAAATTTGATTCTATGCAAACTTAGAACTGTTTTGTGACTTTATCAGATGTGCAATGGCTTTTCAAATAGCAAATGATACATATTTAAGATAGCTTTCTCCTTGATGAAGTTTCAAAATGCTGGTTCCCTGTTGTGTCTTTGAGTTATCCAATCTATTGCTTCAAAATTGGATTAGTAATCATTTATTTCTTTAAAGTTATGTTTGGCTAACTATAGAAAGAGTTTATATAACTGTCAGCTGAAAGAGGAATGAAAATATTATAACTAAATTAAATCTTCTTGTCTATTAATCTCGAAATTAGCTGTAGTATAGAGTGGATGGATGTTTTAGCTAAGTGGCCAATTGTTATGAGTTAGTCGAGATTCTTCTTATGTATATTGACATCTTCAGTTCTTGACACGTTCACAAATTTTCAAGTTAGCAATCAAATTAATCGGCTGATCATAACATTTTTTTTGGTGTGTAAATGTCATTGGTAACATTTATATCAGTTTAACAAGGAGAATGTATAGAAACTTAGACGAGGCAAGATGAATAGTTGGCATGAAGCCCATTGGTTGGGAAACAAGATAAATTGTGACCGGTAATCAGATTGCAAATTTTGGGCTTGTTAGTTTTGGTTTTGAAATTTTGAGTATCATGGTTACTTTTACAGCTTGAGTTTGTTTCCCTCTTACATGTCCATGCCAAATTAAATAACGTTTTGCATTTTCCGGTGGACAACTGAGTCAAATTTCATGTTTAAATGAACGTAAACGCAGTTAGTCTACAGCATGCTTTTGGAGCCTTGCTTCCATGCTAATCAGTTTAAGTGAATAAAAAATCATCTCATAATGGGAATGGAATTTAATTTTGGATTGTATTTTGAGGAAACTGACTAACTGATCAGCATGAAAGTTTTAGAAGATGAGCTGCCCATTTCCACAAATATGATGAAGATGAAGAAGATTATTCTTCTTTGGAGAATCCTGTTGTCCCTAAACTTGCTTTTAACTTCTTGAACACTCCTAGTTTTTAGTAAGGGCAAATAGCAAGCATGGAATGAGGTTGTTTTGGATATTCTTTAATAGAATATCTAAATGTGAATCCTAATTATGATATTTGCTTTGAGTTCCTGGTACATGGTGATTTACCTTATCAATCATGCCATCCCAGTTGGATATTTCTTCTGCTTGCTGCTGCTATTAATGCAGTGGAAGCAAAAAGTAAAAAAAGTAAACTTTTTTCCTCCTAGAGAAGAAAATGTTGATTCAGATGCCCTCGTGTGTTTCTTTTGATTGGCCTTCTCAGAGAAAAATTTTAGTCAAGTTTAGACAACACCTAATGGAAAGGAAGTTAGTGAATTAATTGTGTCCTTAAGAATTGTTTCCCAAATGAAAAGCAGATATGACCAAGGTGTAGTGAATCAAATGCTACGTGAGGTATTAGGTGTAGTGAATCAAATGCTACGTGAGGTATTTTGAATAAGAAGCTGATGATCTCATATGAATAATGAACTGCCATCAGGTAGATGGCTAGTTTGAGCTTGAGTTTCATGGTTTTTTTTTTAATATAAAAATCTGGGATAATATTCTCGAAATGTGATTTATTTGTCAAATTTTATGAAATTTGATATCCATTAACATTTACAGGTTTGAAACCGTTTTAGATTCTTTTCCAATCCTTGAATTAATTACTTAAGATGTTCATGCATGTGAACAGAGCAATAAGGAAAGAAGCAATGGGGTTGCTGAATATCATCAATCTTTTATTTCTTCATGAGATGATGTCGACCATTAGAGCTTTTAACGATGTGAATTGAGCCAAACACTTGGTGTTCAGGCTCTGTTTGTATATTATATGAATAGGGTTCGAGTTCAGCTCAAATATTAACGAATTATAAGTATTGCTCGAATTTGATTCATTTATTTGTATAAATATTTGAATTCAAGTTCGAGTTTGAGCTCGAATTTGAATTTGGAGATGATTTAATTATGTTTTTAATAATTAATACTCCATTTAGAATAAGTTTAATTGTATTTCTTGGTTTTAATAAACTAAATAATACTACTAATTTATGATTAATTACTTTTCTAGGTAAAATATAACATATATTTAATAATATTAAATGTATCTATATTTTTATTTATTTGTATTTATTATTATATAGGTGTTCACGGACTATTTGACTAGTTGAAGAACAGCTTCGTGTTCGGCTCGATTATTAAACGAGCCTAATATTGTGTTCAAACTTGATTCGTTTATTAAACAATCAAAGTTTTTCAAACTTGAATGAGCCGAATACGAACATGTTTGCGAACAGCTTGGTTACTTAAAAGCTCTATCGACCATAGAAAGTAAATAGTCTACACAACTTTGTCAATTTTTCTTTAGGGCCTTCTAGAAAGCACAATCATTAACAGCTTACCGACTTTTTTTTTTCACCAGTCATTTTTTACTCACTGGTGCAAATGTTGACTTACTTAAATACTGTATTTTCCTCCTTTTCCACATGCAGCAAAATAACTGAACTTCATTACAACGCCCTTTTTTTAGAGCCTAGACACTGCTATGGACCGTGTCTTGGCCCTGGTTGGCCCTGATTTTAACACCTGTTGCTTTCGAAACAAATTAGACTACTTCCTTGTCTACAGGCCTTTAAACAGTGACATTTTTTGCCTGTCATTCACATTATTTTTCTTCAAACTACTATAAGAGTAATTCTGCATGTCATTAGGCTTGTGAATATTCTCTTGGCTAAAGCATTATTTTTACTCTTTTATTTACTAAAACTGTTTGGTCTCAAGGTTAGCACTTCCATCCGAGTACATACTAGTTGTGCTGTCTTAAGTCTCTGAAGTGGTTTCTGAATTTGATCTTGATTTATCTACCATAGTTATTAAAGGCGTGTCATGGAGATAGTAAGGGGCAATTTTTGCGCATGATTTTGATATAGGAAATTGTTAGAAAGCTCACGTCCTTTGGGCTTGGGAGAAGGGGCACAAGGCTCTTGGGCGCGCACTTTTTCATTTTTTTTGGTTGAGTCTTTAATTTAGAGTTGACTCATTGAGATGATCATTCAAAATCATTAGAAGTTTCTTAATATTATCTACTTTTGATCATGTTGTTTTGGGTTGATGGTTCATTCTTAGTTGTGACTATGATGGTGTGTTAAATATGTTTATGACTTGTGTATCTATGACTCTTATATGAATGTGCTTAGTGTTTTGGGGATGGTTATTGATGCTTTATTTTCTATATTCTTATTGTGAATGACTGAATATTACATATGCTGCTGTGTTTTTTTGGTGCTTTTGTTAGTTATGCACATTTAATGTTAAAAAGCAAGTTCCATTCCTTTTTCCTAAGGTGCAGGACCTTGGTTCCTAGATGCACCTTGTGGCTCAAATAATTAATATATCCAGAATTAAATCAAAGAGGGGCGTTGCCAGTGTCTTTGATTTGATTGTTTCCGTGTAGTCCATTTATGTTGCATTCTAGATAATAATTTAATATGTAAGGAAACACTTATATGCCTGCAAGTATTCTCTCAGTGTATGATATATGTATGTATATACATACATACATCCATACATATACATATGCGTGTGCGCGTGCGCACTATAAATGTGTATAAACATGTGTATGTATGTTATGTATGTATATTGTTGCTTGGGAGTAGATTTGTGTTGGAAAGGTAGGTAGTAAATGCTAAACCAAGTGGATTCAGAAAGCAATACTTGGAACATATTTCTTTTCCCGTTACGCAATAGAAATGTTTCAAAAGAATCTTTTGGCATGCATATTCTCCTTATCCACGACAAACTTCTTGCCATATAGGTCTCCGCTCAGTCTCCACTCACTCTAATGCATTGATATGTTCGCCCTCTTACTCCTCATAATGCAATTCTGCCACCTGTCCTGTCTTTTTCTTGGGAATTTGTGAAAATGATTCAGTCAAATAGTTTCATTTTCACAGTGCCACAGGGAGATTTTGCAACTTTTTATCTGCTTTACCCAGCAAACTTCATATTTTTTCTACTTTTCCTAAGTAATGCTTCTTAATTTATGAGAGATTAGTGTTCTTTTAGCTTTCTTAATGGAGAAACAAAATCTAAAGGAACTTTTTAGGGAAATTTACAGATCTCCTCCTTCCAACACTTCAACTCGATCTAGGAGGCGTCACAAGAAGGTCTATCCTATTCTTAATTCTTGCATCTGTCTTTCTGCACATTTTGTTTTAGAATAGTTTTTTTTCCCTGATTGATGAGGATATGGTGCGTGATATACTTTAGTTCGTTTATCATCTATTAGATTCATTAGGAATTGAAACATTTTTTCTCAATTAGCCATGCCCACCTCTAACCCTTGGACTTAAGTGGTATCTGTTGATGTGATGCAGAAGGAATGGCTTTAATTTTTATATCTGCTCTTGTTTGTACAATTCTGAGGATAACTAATTTTAATGGTTACAAAAATTGAATTCTTAAAAATAGTTAATCTTGGAATTGGGAGTTAGAATTCGTTCAAGATTTTAGGATGCTAATGGACCTTGTCAAAGATAATCAGGATTCTGCAATTTTGCTGACTAATTGCCTGATAGCCTTTTAGTTTTGGCATAGAAAGAAATGGTGAATGTATGGACCATCTAGAGTAAAAAATATTTCTTTCTTGGAAAAGGTAGAACTAGTAAATTTGTTGTCTTGACTTTTCTTCCAATGTGATAATATGGTTTATTTGGTATTTGTTTCCATAGTTCTGATGGGTATGTAAGGTTTTCTTTTTAACAAAATAAGAAATTCTCTTAATTTTGGTGGCATGTAAGAAAATAGTACCATTTTACTTGGTATACTGGTTCTTGTTTGGTTGATATTTTGTATGCGAAATTGAGTTTAAATTTTGCTCTTAAATACAGTGCTGTTAGACGTTTTGCTTCAAAAGTTGTTGTGGTGTGATGTAATTCCTAGTTCAACTACTATGAGGTGCGAAGGTTACTAATAGAGAACAACGTAAGGTCCTTAAAGATATATTGAAGTTTAAAATAGTTTATGAGTTCCAATTAGGTTTTGAGTAGATTTGCAGCATATGTGATAGTTGGAATTACTGCACCGACTGTCAACGCAAAATCTACTCTTTTTACTTTTTTTAATTTCTAAAATTCTACTGTTGCATGAAAGTTTTGTCAGACACAGATTGGTTGGTTGAAGTCATGTTTTAACTCTTGCTTTATCGCTGCCCTCTATCTTTTTGGAACCTAATCTATACCTTTTAAGCAAATTACTAGAATAGTGCGTCTATTACTTTTGTCTCAAGAAGTCTTTTTAGACTTCAAATAATTGTTTTCAATTGCATTTAAGGTCTTTTTGTTATATAGCTCATGCCTTGAAAAGAAAAGTTATGTCATGAGCAAGCCACTAATTAACGTTCTCTAACTTCATGGTGATTGTTCATGACTATAACATCCAAATTTTCATATTTAAGCATTTAATAAGTGAATGTTGTTTTGTAGGTTGAACTTCCAGAGGGACTATCATCATTCACCCATATTTACCATAATGATTTTGTTGGCCGAAAGTAAGATTTCACATTGTCTGTGCTTCTTGCTGAGTTAAATTTACTTTGTTGAACTGAGTGGTAAATTTAGTCCTTCTCTACTCTGCTCCTCCTTATGGCATGTGATTGCTTGTATGGTTTTTCCTTAGGTTACAGAGACTTTGCTTCTAGAATTAGTTTGACTTCTGGACTTCTTCAATGGGCAAAATTAGGGACGCAAAGAAAACTTGTCAAATTCATTTTACCAATCTTAATTTTCAAACTAATGTAACTTTGCAACCATGTACCACTTAGTCTTAAAGGATGGATGAATATAATGAAGTAGCTTTTGGATTTTAGCTGAATGTTTATTACTGCTTGTAATTAGTTGCCATGGAAATGACATACTAAAGTATTGTCTTCTGCTCTCAGACCAAAGAAGGTGAAGGATGATGATGTGGCCATTTGTTTCTGTAAATGTGATCCCGATAACCCTGAAAGTGCTTGTGGAGATGGGTGCTTGAATGTCATGACCAGCACAGAATGTATACGTGGGTACTGCCCATGTCAGGACTATTGCAAGAACCAGGTGAGTTTTGCTGGTTGAGTTATTTATTGTGACAATTTCCACAAAGGGTACTGTGACCTTTGTCTTAGTTGTTCAGTGGAAAAAGAGATTTGGAAAGAAAGGGAAACAGGACTGAGACTATGAATAATTTTTTAACCTAAGATGATGATTAAGCTGCTATAGATGTGCTACATGACTGCTGATATGGCTTTTGTGGGTCCAAACAATTATTTTGTTGCTGACTCTGATTACATGTTAGTCTTCCCAGTTGACATATCTCTGATGGGCATAGGTCTCATGATGATGTGGAAGAGGACTTTGGATCTGTTGATCACTGAGTCTGAACTCTGATATGAGGTGGACCTATTTTTGGTTGCTGTTGAACCCTTGTCCTCAAGCAACCACATTAGAAGTAGCGTTAGTATCCTTGCTTCATGTATTAGGTAGGAAGCCATTTTCTTTACATGGTAAATTGTTGAATAGCCCCTACCGCTTCAAAAGTTCTCATATTGATTCCCATGTATTCAAAATGAATTCAGTCCTGATGTATATTAATTCTACTACAATTTGGTCCCCCATTTGTTTGGGGTAATTTTTTCAGCGTCTGTGGAGAAGGATTTAGTACTCACAGTGGGGCATAAAGGTTATTTAGTACTATGGAAATGACTTGCTGATTACTGTGGAACTTCTACAGTTTACCTGATTTGTAAACTTTGCAAATGGGGTTTAACATGCAGAGTTTGGTATCCTGGATAATGGTTGCTGAAGAGTATGGGTCTGAATCTTGGGGATTGAGGATAAAGGTGTTACGCTCGTGTGACTTTATTTCACTATATTATTTGTTAATTGTGTAAGGGAGAGAGGAAGAGATCTCAGTTGGAAGTCTATTAGGTGTATTGGATTAGTGAGCTTGTTGTTTTGTGGTTTAGATTGCCAGTTTAGATTCCGTTTGTTTGCTGATAACTTGAGAAAATGACATCCAAATGCAATGACTTTCTAATTACCTGATTTAAAGCCAAAATTTTCTAGGCTATTGGTTTCATCACATTTTGAGGTTGGAGTGAATGACAAAAGAAGAAAGTTTCTGCAATGAGTTCAGTCTTTATTGTGTATAAAAAAAGTAAATAAATGCACATCCAATTTGCTTGATTCCTACTCAAGAGAGCATAGACCCGATGAAATACCAAATGTATTTTCATAACCTTATTATCCTCATTTGGCCTTCTTAAAGATGCTCATGGATACAATCGGTATTCTTTACTTGCAACAAATGCAGTGTTAGATACTGCATTGTAGACATCCACTAGCAGACAAGGCATCTTTTGGATTCATTAGAGAGGTAAGAAAAGGCAACAGCCACCTACAGATGATCTAATGTGCTTTTGATTCCCAATGGGTTAGGTCAGTTTAAGTTGCTCACTTTGTTTGGTCAAATGTTCTTGACTACTTGTGCAAAGGGGAAGAAAATAACTGCTGATATGAGTTTTAACTCTTGATTATTTGTTGTCTGCTAGAATGCATGATACATGTATAGAACATAGAGACATGGGATCTTAACCGGAAGTTTGTGATGTATTAAAATCTTTTAGAATGTCACCTGATTGAGATTTTTTGAATGTATATTTTTGTGGAGGATATATTAAGATTTTTTTTTTCTTTTAACAACTCTTGACAGAGATTTCAAAATTGTGAATATGCCAAAACCAAGTTGTTCCAAATTGAAGGGCATGGATGGGGTCTTTTAGCTGATGAAGATATTCAGGTTCTGCAACATATACACCTTTTGCCTAATTCAGTTGTTCAAATTTTCTTGTTTAAAACTAATTACATCAGTAAGAGACTAAGATTGATATTGACAGAAAGTTATACATTTATGTGCAACATGTAACAATGTTCCCTAGCAACTTTATCTTCTTAGCACATATATGCTCATTAGCATGGCATTCCTGCAGTTGCTTATCCAGTATTTCTAGTAGAAATGTATCAGCAATTTTACAATTTTAATGATGTTCTAGTTTAATGGAGATTAATTGCTGCTTTTGTTAACCTTTTGATCTCACATTCAATAATACTACTTCTGTTGTTACTTGATCCACTTATGCTCATGACATGCTTTTATGGACCATTTTCCCCTGAAATTGTATGTTTAGGCTGGACAATTCATTATTGAATATTGTGGAGAGGTTATCTCATTGGAAGAAGCCAAGCATAGATCACAAAGTTACGAAGCACAAGGTGAATTAAAACTTTCTGCATACATGCTGTTATCCAACTGCTCTGACTAACTGTACATTTTTAATGACTTGATGTAGGTCTTAAGGATGCATATATAATTTCTTTAAATTCTAATTATTTCATTGATGCTACAAAGAAGGGGAGCCTTGCCAGGTTTATAAATCATTCATGGTGAGTCTTTTAGATGTATAAATGGATATAATCTGTCCATGTTAAATGCATTTTCAGTTTCAAGTAACAATGTGGTTGAGATCTTGTGTCTTAACTCATCTGGGAATCTAGAAATGCAATTTATACTTTTTACACTTGAATTTGTAGTCTACCTACTTGCGAGACAAGGAAATGGACAGTGTTGGGGGAAATACGAGTGGGGATGTTTGCAAAGGTAGACATATCATCTGGAACAGAGCTGTCATACAATTACAACTTTGAGTGGTATGGTGGTGCCACTGTTTGCTGTCTGTGTAGGGCTGCTAATTGTTGTCTATTTCTGGGTGCAAAATCTCAGGGTTTTCAGGTGATATTTTGTTAGGCAATTGCTTTATTTGTTTGAAAAATTTACGGTTTTAATTTTGTTTAGAATTATTTTAGTAGATTAAGGTGTTATTTACACTTTGTCGTACACGATTGCAGACGCTGATGTGCTAAACACTTAAATGGTTTTTTAAATCACTTGATTAGTATATTCATGAAAACCGGCCTAGCAGTTGGGGAACAGGGAGTGATAGGGGAGGCATGGGAGGGTAAAGAAAAATAAAAAATAAAAATAAAAACATTCACGAAAACCCTTTCTTTTTGAGGGAGTAAGATGTTTTGTGTTTGCATATATACTAAAGTTAACTCTGTGGAGGGAGAAGCTGAATTTAATCAAAATCAGTTATTTCTTGTGGGGTTTTTTCTCCTACTATCAAGCACTACATGGATCAAGTTTCTTGGATGAAGTAAGGGCTAATGTCTATGAACAATGTAATCTAGTTAATTGAAGATTCAAATGGTCTTACATTACAGCTATGAGTCACATTGTTATCAGTGTTGACAACCTTGTTTGGTTACCTGAGCAGCAAATTTCTTCTTGCTCTGATTCTTGAAATTTGTGGCACTTCAAGTTTATCTACATGTCTGTCATTGTTAGCCCCTTGTAAGTATTTCACATTGATCATCCATTGGCCATGCCTAGCTTATTAGTGTTTGACTTTATGTTCTTTGAGAAACAAATTTTACTCGTTGAAATGAAACGTGGAGGGAAAGTTATTAATTGTTAAATAGTTGATGCAGCACGAATACTTGGTGGGCACAACAGCTTTGTAGGAAGCCCAAATATCGAATTTGACCCGAAGTTAAAATAGCAACTAGGAATAGGATGAGAAAATATGCTTAAGAAGATAAAAATCAGATTAGTAATTCTAGGAATCAGTCCTAGGAATCTTCAGGCATCACACCTAAAGTTAGGATGTATTCACACAACCCTAAGAAAAGAGGATCAGAAAATATAGAATTCAAACCAACTTCCAAGTTGGTTCCTTGTTGAAAGAGAAGAAGCAAGAGAGGAAGATATTTTGGGATGACATTCCTTCACTTCTAATGTGAGTAGTACAACTGACATATATATACAAGATTGAAATAATCTAGATCCTAAAATCAAGCTATCAAGATCCTAAAATCAAGCTAGAATAATTAGCTATCTACTTCCTATAATTAAACTAGGATAATCAGGCTAATAATCAGGCTATCTAATCCCTATAATTGATGTATAATATATCACACGTATCTAGATATATTCAACACTCCCCCTCAAGTTGGAGCATACAAATCATATGCACCAAGCTTGCCACATATATATTTTATACGAGGACCTCTTAGGGACTTGGTAAGAAAATCTGCAAGTTGATCACTTGAATTAACGAAACCCGTCTCAATAACTTTGGAGATCAATTTTTCTCTAACAAAATGGCAATCAACTTCAATGTGCTTAGTCCTCTCATGAAAGACTGGATTGGAGGCAATGTGGAGTGCAGCTTGATTATCACAAATCAACTTCATTGGGTCACTAGTCCCCAAATTCAACTCATTGAGCAATTGTTTAAGCCATATTAGCTCACATGTAGCCATAGCCATGGCTCGATACTCAGCCTCAGCACTGGATCTAGCAACCACATCTTGTTTTTTACTTTTCCAAGATATTAAGTTGCCACCAACTAGAATACAATAGCCTGTGGTAGAATGACGATCAATAGGTGATCCTGCCCAATCTGCATCAGCGTAACCAATTACTTGCATGTTTCCTTTATCAGTATACAACAATCCTTGGCCAGGTGCTCCTTTGATATATTTGAGAATGCGGAGAGCTGCATTCCAATGAGTATCACATGGGGAATCTAAAAACTGACTGATCACTGAGACAGAAAAAGATATGTCAGGATGTGTTACTGTAAGATAGTTCAACCGTCCCACAAGCCTACGATACTTTCCAGGATCCTTAAGTGGCTCCCCCTGTCCTGGAAATAATTTAATATTGGGATCCATTGGAGTTTTGACAGGCTTAGCATTTGACATGCCTGCCTCCTCCAAAATGTCCAATGCATATTTTCGTTGGCAAATAACAACACCTTCTTTGGATTGGGCAACTTCGATACCCAAGAAATAACGAAGCTTGCCCAAATCTTTCGTCTGGAAATGGCCAAAAAGGTGGTTCTTTAACTGAGCAATTCTATCATGATCCTGTCCAGTGATAATAATATCATCGACATAAACGACAAGATAAATGCTACCTTTTGATGGAGAATGACGATAAAACACTGAATGATCAGCCTCACTACGGATCATGCCATATTTTTGGACAACATCACGAAAGCGTCCAAACCAGGCCCGAGGAGATTGTTTGAGACCATAGAGTGCACGTTTTAGTCGACAAACCATTCCACTAGACTTCCCCTGAATAACAAAACCAGGTGGTTGATCCATATAAACTTCCTCCTGCAATGCACCATGAAGGAATGCATTCTTGATGTCTAATTGGTGCAAAGGCCAATGATGAACAGTAGAAAGAGATAAGATGAGACGAACAGAAGACATCTTGGCCACTGGAGAAAAGGTGTCAGTATAATCCAGACCAAAAATTTGAGTATAACCCTTAGCTACTAGACGAGCTTTAAGACGATCAATTTGACCATCCGGACCAACTTTAACAGTATAAATCCAATGACAACCAACAGTTGATTTACCAGGTGGGAGTGGGACTAGCTCCCAAGTGGAATTGGAGTGAAGAGCAGCCATTTCATCTATCATTGCCTGACGCCACCCAGAGTGGGACATAGCCTCACCTATAGTTTTAGGAACAGACATGGACGACAAAGAGGACAAAAAGGCATAATAGGATGAAGACGCGCTGATAATTGAGACAAGTATAGTTGGGACATTGATTGCGAGTAGAACGAATACCTTTGCGGACAGCAATGGGTGGGCTGGCTGGAGAGGAGATCGTGGTAGGTGACGAACTTGGAATAGTTCGTGAGGCATCAGGGACATCAGCAGATTCTCCAACACCAGTATCTGGAACTGTAGTAGGACAATTCCTTACATTGCGTCTCTGGTAAGTGAGCAATGGTGGTGGTGATGCGGGTGAAGGTAAGGACTCTTTAGGAGGCTGACTAATGTCAGTGTCATGAGTAAGAGGAACAAAATAAGTAGAAACAGGAATATCTTCCGTGATTGTAGAATGCTCAGACTTGTTAGGCTGAAAGAAAGGAGTAGACTCAAAGAACGTAACATCTGCAGAGATGATGTATCGTCTAAGATCAGGAGAAAAACATTTGTACCCTTTTTGTGTTCGAGAGTACCCCAAAAATACACATTTGACAGCACGTGAAGACAGCTTATCTTTTCCAGGAGTGAAATCATGTACAAAACATGTACAGCCAAATGTACGAGGGGAAATAGAAAATAGTGGAGCATTAGGATATACAAAAGAGTAAGGAACTTGATCCTTAAGGACAGATGATGGCATGCGATTAATCAAATAACATGCAGTGAAAATGGCATCCCCCCAAAAACGTAACGGAACATTTGCATGAAGAAGTAAAGTACGTGCTGTTTCAACCAAATGTCTATTTTTCCTTTCAGCAATCCCGTTTTGTTGTGAGGTGTGAGAACATGATGATTGATGAATGATCCCTTTAGACTCCATAAAGGACTTGAAAGAGGTGGAGAAATACTCATGTGCATTATCACTACGTAAGATTTTTATGGAAACACCAAATTGTGTTTGAATTTCAGAGACAAAACTTTGAAAAATAGAAAACACTTCAGATCTATTCTTCATAAGAAACACCCAAGTACAACGAGAATAATCATCAATGAAAGTAACAAAATACTGAAAACCTAAAGTAGAAATAACACGACTCGGTCCCCAAATATCAGTATGGACCAAAGAAAATAGAGATTCAGCTCTACTATTAGCCCTTTTCGGAAAATGACTACGAGTGTGTTTTCCAAGCTGACATGATGCACACTCTAAGGAAGACATGGTAATAGATGGCACCATCTTTCGAAACTTATTTAAACTTGGATGACCCAAACGACTATGGATTAGCAGAGGATCATCTATTGCAGAACAAGATACTGGTGTTGGTAAAGACAGATGGTAAAGTCCCTGAGACTCACGCCCTGTGCCAATCGTCCGCCCTGTACCTCGATCCTGTAAAATTACAGATTCCTCATCAAATGTAACTAAGCAGTTAAGAGAACGACACAAACGACGAACAGATACTAAACTAAAAGGACAATTGGGTACAAAAAGAACAGAATCGAGAGGCACAGAAGGTAGAGGGTTAGCTTTGCCAATCCCTTTAGCTTGGGTTTGTGAGCCATTAGCAAGAGTAATATTGGGTAGAGAAGTAGAACTATGGAGTGAAGAGAAAAGTTGTGGATTACCAGAAATATGATCTGTGGCAGCAGAATCTAAAACCCATGGGCCAAGAGATGGAGATTGAGAGACACATGCGCTAACATTACTAGTGTGTACAACTGAGGCAGTAGGTGTGGAAGACTGTTTGGCTGTAAACCATTTCACAAAATCTTCATACTCAGGCTTGAGAGTTGGTTCTGAACTTGCGCAAGGTTCGGATTGAACAATATTCGCCACTTGTTGGGGAGGACGTCCATGCAAGAGCCAACATCGATCTTCTGTGTGGCCAACCTTTTTACAATAGTTACAGTAGGGTCGATTTTCGTTACCATTATAACCACCTCGACCACGGCCACGTCCACGACCTCCTCTTTGGCTGGATTGAGATGCCAAAGCTGATGAATCAACAACGATAGTCTCCGAAGATGATTTTGATTCATCCGGGAGCCGTAACAGCCGTGAAAAAGCTTGAGACAAAGTAGGAATTGTGGGGCTAGCAAGAATCTGGTCACGAATGGTAGAATATTCTGCAGGTAATCCAAAGAGAGCCAAAAGCATAAAAAATGTACCTCGCTGAGAGAGTTGTTCCTGCTGAGTTGCAGCAGGGGGTAGCA